ATCAACTGCCCGGATGACGACTGTAGATGTCCCACAAGCTCCGGGTTACGGTAGCAGTGGTTCACCGGAGTGCAGAATTTCTCTTATCTATCCAAATACCTCAAATGTACCTGGCTAGGTCCTAACTTCTATTGCTGTCTATGTGGGCCTTTCAGGGAGTCCCAGACGTTATACTCGGAATCCCTGAGATCGGGTAGGCGTGGCTGCGTACTTGATTTTAAATGGCGGCGGCCCAGGTTTTCGTGAGATATTTTCATTTTGGAGCAGTCGTAATCATGTCTACATCTAACACAGAACAAGATAGCAGTTGTTTCAAATTGAAGTATCCCACGAGTAACCCGTCCTATGCCATGCTCAAAAGCCACGCCTACTCCGTCTCAGGGATAAGGAGTGTATTTTACGTAATAATCCTTCCTGAGTCAAGGCCTGCTAGTCACAAATAAATTGGCACATGCATCAGAAATTGTCGCATTTTATCTGCGCCCTCCAGCAGTGGCCAGCGGAAGAACCAATAAGCTACTTTAGGTACTCTACCCGAGACATTGTGTTAAAAACACGTGGGGAGCTGAAATTCATGCTAATGTTACGATTCCAAATGATGCAGCCTTTATCCGAAAAGGAACCCAAGTCTTTGTTGATTCTTATTCGGCATTCAGCGACAACAACGGCCATAAACTGTGAGTTTCTACCGGTTTTTTTTTCACTGGTCATGTACAGTACCTGTTTCAACACTATCCCCCCTCCCACGTGATCAACATGGAGTTGGGATGTGGAGCGATACATCACAGTCGCGATATCGCAGTACGAGCCGACGTGGAAGATAAAGTAGACGCGCAGCGCCGTTTCCATGCTGGAAAAGAGCAACGCCGCGCGTTAAGTTCATCTTCCGTGCCAATTCGTACAGTGATGCCGCAATCTGGATGTAACGCTCCACACCTTAAGTAGGCCTCTAATCTCTAGCAGCTCGAATAAAATGTATGGATGCAGATCCAAGTGAATCTATGTGACTAGACCCAGCGAGTTGGATTCTGCGCTGTGCAAAATCTGTAACTACCTCGTTGGCCCAAACAAGGTACAGCATGGGGATGTGCGAAATGTCGGTGTGAGTACGACCCCCCCCCCCTTCGAATGGGGTCCAGGCACGACCCCCTCCTCCGCCTCCACGGCTTCTTCGCCGACGGCCGAGCCACGAGTGTATACAGTCGGCGGGAAAACCGCCCAGCGGGGTAGGAGATAATATAATAACTATGCAACGTATATCCCACGGGCGTACAAAATGCATATAGTGCATATAAAAAATTAATACGACCCCCTTTTCCACAAGAAAAAATCAACTATCCAAAATAAATTTGTCTTACAAATACGACCCCCTCCCCACAGCAAAATTACGAACATCGCCCCTCCGCAGAGCAAATACGACCCCCCTCCCCACAGGCAAAAGTGGCCGAGTCCCCCATGGTCCTGACACTACCCTGGGCCCAAATCCATAAGAGATTCAGCTAAATATTCAAATTGCATGCACTGTTTAGATGTGAGTTGGAAAAACTGTTGGAATCTAATGGTATCACGGCGGTGCTCGGTTGCGGTCTTGCCTACGATATCTGTGTGCGACATACCCTCAGTGACGCCAACAAACTTGGCTTCTTAAGCGGCGTGGTACGGAGATGGTGCAGGTAATGGCGGGTTTCCTGAAAAAGGGCAGCGGTAAGGCTTGGCTCTAAAAGCGGAACAACTTCGCCTTGCGCTCGTCATCATTGGATGTGTGTGCAAATATACAAACAAAGTGTCCATTTGATCTGAAAAGCGTTCAAATTCAAAGTGAAATTGAAGATATTTGAGAACATCGTAGAAAATCTTCAATGTGTGCTATGAGCAGCCGGTCCTTCGGGTTGACTCTCACACGCTCGCGTCGAATCATTGGCATTCTGTCTGGAATCCTTTATGCTGATGCCAGTAATTGTTTTCTAACAGTTGTGAAAAATACCTTTTTCAGCAAAGGACTGTCCAAGGAAGGCGTGCAGGAAACAAGTGAGCTTTTTGCTTCTGAAAATATCGCCATTATCGAATCGGATGCTGCCAAAACGCGATAATAAAAAAAAGAAAGGTTCGATCGAATGGGTGAATGAAGTGGCATGGGAAGGAGCATTTGGAAATGGAACTATCAGTTAGGATCTAACAATTATTCTCAGAAAATGTCTATATCTGTGATTTCTCTGTGATTTGATTGATTCGGTGAATTTTGAGCAGCTTTAAATGCTTTAACTATTTTGTACCGCAGAAAGGAGTCCCATTTAAGAAGTCCGCGAATGAATATGCGAGCAGGTGAAGGAAAGCGGTTTCCGCTGGGGTCATATTCCGCACTAGGTAAGGAACCATTGCTGAGCGACTGATAAAAAAATGCCTCCTCTGATTTTTGTCACAACAGAGCAGCGGGATAGTGAGCACGACTGTGAAACGTATTGTTTCTTGGGTGGCTTTCAAGTAGCAATCCCAAGTCAAACCGCCGCGTACCGACGCATGCGTCCTTGTGTCATTTTACATCCTGCATTGTGCATGTCGTTTGTATACATTAGATCAACAGATTACTACTTAATTTGTCAATGTAATCATTCTCGGTTTTAATTTTAAGGCTATTAAATAAATGATGTAACTTTACTCCTGAAATGTTATATGTGTTAATTGTTATGTTAGGTTGTATTGAGAAATGAAAGGTTATAGTAGTTGATATCAACCCAATCAGTCGGAGCAGGATGGGCAGCTTCCAGATCTCTGTTCGACAGATAATCGGCTAGTGACCGATTGAAGAAGAAGAAGAGAGCTACTGGTGAAAACGCTGGGGTCAAGCTCATTCCATATCTCTCGACAGCGCCCCGATCGATTGCGACAATATCAAGGGTACCATGATAAAAATGGTTCCGTTCATATCGGGGGCAAGAAGGGGTGTCCGGCTGTGTATTACCTTCACAGCAAATCTTGGGGTTGATGGAGTTCTTGCTCAATACGGACCACCTGCTCGTCATTCTCTCCCATCCTCTCCCCCTCTTCCAAAGCGACGTTCAACTGAAAATGCTTTACCGCAAAACTTTGCCGTTGAGCAAGGGGAGGGGAGTGGCAACTAGTAGAAATTGTAGTTTCGCGGTGGCGCTGGCCATGGGGGATGGTATGCATAGCAAGCGTGTAACGTATAAGTACTCTCACGTAATCAGAAGCAACGTTTACGTGCCAAGTGGCAACCCGCCTCCTTTCAAATAACGAAAAGTGCGACCCCTTCCCCTGTTTCGAAATCCCCAACATTTTGGTGCATCCGGAGCTACCGTTCGCGACTCTCTTTCTTATATCATAGGCTCTGTAGTTCCTCTTTTACTGGATTTCAACAGCCGATCTCCTAGTCGCGTAGCGCATGGCTAGTCGCGTAGGGCCAGAGTATTTAAATGCAATAGCTTGTGAGACATAATGCTACAATTCCAAGTTGCATCAATTAGCTGCGAGGACGCGCACGAGACACCGCTTTTGCACCGATGCCGCAAGGTGGATCTTCAGCGTTACATTAGTGGCAACTGGATGTTACGAAACTGCTGCTTCATTGGTTCACGTCGGGAGACGGGCAAGAGAATCGGTTTTATTTGGCCGGCGGCAGTCGGCGTGCGCGATGGGGCGCAGCTTTTTAACATCGTGTTAACCTGTCGGAGGCGAGATGGTGTAGTGACAATGGGGCGCTCACCATTCGCGCGTCCGTCCCGGTTTCGAATCCGGGTCGACTCCCGCCCAGGCCAACCAAGCCTTCTACCCTCCGGGGACGGTGAATTGGTACCAGATTCGTCTGGGAGGATAAAACACTGACTTGTACATCGGCTGGCCACCGCAAGTCATTGTATAGGCCACATCGCATTCAATAAGCCCACTACGATTCTGAATGGAAGTAGAATGCGTGCCGCATCCCACAAAGGGATTGATCAACGGCGAAGACTTTATCCTTTTTATCCTTTTAAACCCTTGTCGACTGGAAGGCACCGGACTTCTAATTGTAGACCCCGCGACCTCGTGGCAGCATTCATGGACTAGTTTCGTTCTCAATCTGCCTGTCGCGCCATCTACTACCTGGAACCATCACGGCGATATTCGGGCGCGAACGTTGCCATCGCATGCGACGCCCATTAGACGCGGCAAATTACGATGTGTGGGTCACATACCGTTCAGTCAGATTCGTTCGGAAAAAATCATATATCATTGGAAGCTACGCATATGCGATTTGCGTCTGAAATACGACGAGACTTTTCAGGAAACTTAGCGATGAGGCAGCGAAGTCTCTAGCTGGTTTGCTGGTGCAAGCGAGCGACAGAGAATTGCTGTGGATATCGGCTAAGAGGTTAGACAAGACAGTGAGCGAGTAGCAAACGAGCAGGAGAGCGCGTAGGACATCTATCAATGCAGGCGGAGTCACTTGAGCAACGTTTAGCTCACCGCCGGCCACCTTATCACTTCCTGACGTGAAATATGTACACGGTTGTTCGCTGCAATCCAGAGTACCTACGGGAGCCTTTACAGTTATAGACGGAATCGCGTACTCTGGGCCTTTAGGTGAGATGTATCCGTGAAATTCACTGCTCCAGTAGAAACTGGACGAGAACTTCAGAGGTGGAAAAAAATAACTTTATTTTACTAGATTTTTTCACCAGACTCTTCACTATACGTCGCTATCCACAAATATATTAATCTATACATATAAATTAATCTATAAATAAAATTCAGTGACAGAAGCAAGTGTTGACTAGAAGACCTTTCACAGGGTTTTCAGTTCACAAGCAGATTTTTCATGTCATAAAGTGCGGATCGTATCGAATCTTTGAATCCAGCCAGATTAGTTCGTGGATCTGATTTGAACGCAGATGGGGCAAAAATGATGGTGTCATTTTGGAGGTTATACGAACAACCGTATCCATCACGGACCACAGCACCATAGCACAGATAGCAGTTGGTAATATCGGGTGATGTCGTGACCTGAAATGAAATGAAAATGTGCTTGAAATTTCAAGAAGATGGTCGGATAACCCGTTGGAGTGGACTTGGTAGAGTTACTCGGGGAGCAGGAAAAAGCACCTCGGGATGGGAGCTATGGTGGGTGACGGTTCAGTGAAACCTGAGAAACTTGGGCGCAGTTTCCTGACTGGATTCCACTCTGTATCGACGCAGTTACAACTACATACAGCTCTTATTTGCCACGGGTGATGGGACGTGTGAGACTTTGGGATTTGGCGCGTTGCCAGCCCGTTCTCCAACAACTGTTCAGGCGGATAAGCGACAGCAGTTGATGGGAAACGATACGATGATGGTATACAGTCATGTCGCTTGTTCGCTTCAACAAATGGTGATGGAGAACGGGTTCGGGTCCGCGAAACTGAGATTGCCGCTCTAGCTCTAGGGTCTGAAACCATCCCTCCAGTCATCCGCAGCGGACAAGACTGTGCAACTATTGGTCATTCTGAGCAGTACAAAGTCCTGGTATAGATAACCCCCATCTATTTGGCACCACAATGAGTTTCTGGGCGCTAGAGCGGCAATATCCGCGTTGTGGGGTGGGACGCTTTAGCGCTTACAGTACCCGACAAAATGTTTATTGGCAAGCGACCCAGTCCACGAATATGGACGGCTGTCGTCAACGTGGTACTGCAAGAACAAGGCCGATGCAGTGTTCGGCTAAGGAGGTGGGTGGGGGGGGGGAAGCTGGAGAAGGAAGGAGGCATTTCTGACCTTTGCAGTGTTCTTTTGGAATTCTGCCGAACCACACGTCTCATCCTTGATGAGACCTGCAGAATCTTGTGAAATGTAAACGAAACTCCTGCTATAGCATAGTTCTACAAGAATCTACAGGTCTCCACTGGAGGCGTCGACAATGATTGATGGAACCCAGTAAAATGCCCCACAAAACCGAGCTGCGCCCCAAAAGCACGCTTAGGAAGTGCCCCATGTACCGAATACCAGTGCTTCGGGTGAAGTATTCGCATGATCACAAGGCTGATAGGTGTTAGAGAGCCAATATCTGCCGAATGGGACACCTTGTCTCCGCCTAGTCGACGCGTGTGGACTTTGCTTTCAAACTTGAGCACAAGTTGACTTTAGTAGCTACCTCATGCTGCAGTGAAGTCCCCGGAGGAAGGCTCACCTGACTAGTGGATAATGGAAACCGCAACACTTCCGTCCATAGAGGATCCTGAAAGATATCTGGCAGCTTTTCGATTTCTCCGCTCTCCACAGATTGCCTCGCCAAGACGAGAAGAGCGCAGAGATGGTTGTCGAATACCATGTCCGACCAGGTTCTGGAAAAAAAAATCCATTTTCAAAAGCTATCTCCTACTTCTTTGGCATACAAAACTAGCCCCTGAAAAGAATCCCACCCACTGTTTCCCGTCAAACATAGGTTTCGTTTCCAGGCGAATAATGTCATGAATAGAAATGTCCAACTGACCTCCTGCGTTATCAGCGCCTGTTTGTCAGCAGCTCGTCGCATGAGAACCAGACGGGTTTCCTGAAATGTAGAGTGCACTCATCAACGGAATTCATTTGTTCTTCCATACGTTGAAAAGGTCACAAATGGGAGGTTATAGTGAGTGCGAACTGGAGGTTTCTTCTCTGGTACGACCCCACACCCCCACTCCTTCTCACCCGTTTTCCTAGTTCTCCCAATTTTCACCAGCTTTTCAATAAGAGCTGTCGTCGTTCAGGGCAGGGAGGGGCGGCGTAGGGGTCGCCTCCACCACTCGACTACAAAATTCAAGAAACAGACATAGTAGCTCTACAATAGTTTGCGACCGCGCGAAACTAGGGATAGATTGAGACGAACCGAAAAAAAGTCAACGGGGGGAAGGGGGGGGGTGGGGAATTCTCCGCTGCGCAAAGAAGTGACTTGTCAAGGTTGACCGAAACCCCCACTGCGGCCAGTTTTCCTAATAGGATCCTCCCCTCGGCGTGTACCCCACAAGCGCCTAAGCCCTCTTTATAAAAAACAGTCCACCTTGCTTGTGTGGGAGAAGTCAGACACACCTATAGGGCTTTCCTCGATAGTGCGCTCTTCTTTCTTCAGTTGATATCGTCGCAATCAGTCGCGGCGGTTTTAAGGGGCTACCAGCGGTGGTTTTCGACAGGGCTTTCTTCCTTGAGCAGTTACCCACCGATCACTACTGGCAGAATGGCAGCCGGAGACGGGCTCACTCCGCGTCTCCTGACACCGCCCCGCCTAAATGCGATGGTATCAACTATACGTTTGTGGGAAGGAGTAGCGATTCTATGGAGAAGGCTCGATATTACAGTCGGCTTTATCAACACGACAGCGTGGACCATGTCTTCCCACTGGCGCGGTAAACGCTCACTCCTAACTTGACTCCGAAGAATGTTTATGGAGAACTGTATGCACCTTAGACTCGTTTTTCGTCATCGCTTTCACCCATTGGAGAGCTTCTCTGGTATTCGCTCGTAATATTATCCACTCTTCCAGCTCGGAATCGTCGCAGTGATGCTGATTCGTACGTAGAGACGAGGTACCCGTGGAGCCTGAAAGAAGTTTCAAGTAAAGCATCAGATACCGTTACTACCCCTGAGTCTGAGCAAA